AGAGAGAGAGAGAGAGAGAGAGATAAACGGAAAAATGTGGCATATGCTAGACGAGGGGCAGGAGATTTGAGGCTCTCCAGATGATGGACCTAACCAGCCCTAACTAGCGGAGAATGCTGGGAGTTCCAGCCTAACAATATCTGGAAGGTGCCACATTCCCAAATCCTGTGCTAGAGGCTTCAGTAAGCAATACAATTCTGAAAATATTTTCCAGAGAAGCTACAGGTAGTGTTCAAGCAGCAGCAAGTAAAATCAGTAACTACCCTGCCATAAACAGACACCACCAAGAGAAATTGAACAGGAAAGCCTGAAAGAGATGTAGATGATCAATTTACAACTAATGGTGTCTATAGCTTTTGCATTGCAATGTATTTATCTACTGTTTTTTTGTGAGAAAACGTAGAGTAAACATATTTTTGATTTTTGATTTGGTTTTGGCAGTGGCTGGAGTTCTAATAGCAGGAGTGAGGAAAATGTACACGTAGAATATACATCTTATATAAAATAATCATGTGGCATCAAGTATTATACAGAAGACCTAATAAATACAGTATTGCTTTTATTTTTGAAGCTTTAAATAGAAACCTTAGAGGTTTCAGTTTTACTCTTAAAAGGTGTGCAGCCCTGAAGAAAGAGAGAAAGAGAAACTCAGACACAACAGAATCAAAGAAAAACAAAAGGCAGAAAGTCAAAAGATGTAAGGAAGTTGGTAACTAAATGGAAAAATAACCAGATGCATAATTTGTGACTATGGAGACACAGAGACACAAATTACATCTTTACTCCAGTCCTAAGCCTTTCAGTTTCCTGTCCCCATGAAGTCAATGTAACAATAGCATGTGTGCTTCAATGCACCGTGAATGCCAAGCCCTCTAGAAGAACTACCTCGCATTATCTCGGCCGTGAGACTTCAGGAAGTTCTTGTCCCGGTACTTAGACAGGAATGTCACCAGCTCCTCGTTGGTCCTGTAGGGGGCAGCAATTATAAAAGAAAACAGGTATATGAAAGGAAGCCTACACTGTCAATCAAAGCAGTGTGAGTGATCTGTGGATTCCCCACAACCTCGAAGCCCAAGGTGCCTTTCCCGGCACAGCCAACAGTCCCGATTTTGGGAAGTTGCTGTCCAGGAACATAAGGCCCAAATTTGGAAGTCACTGTTCTGAAGAGAATCCAGACGTGAAATTTTGACACCTGACAAGATGTGAAATGTTGAGTGTATAGAGTGCTGAAATAATTAAGGGGGTGTACAGAACAAAACCGTCTTGAAAACGGACATTGTGCTTTAAAAACAAGGTTTGAACAGCAGTCTGCTAAAAGAAATTGCAAAACAACTGGCTAGCTCCAGCTGAGTCTGGAAACAAGGTCACTGGATGATAACATTGCCTTGTGAAGAAATGTGGTCTTTACATAAAAGAGTAAGCTTTGGCTTTTGATATAAGCAGTTTCTGATTAGAGAAGTTTGTAATTAATCTGTTCTGATTTTTATAATCTTTTATATAAATTATTCTTTAGGTCGGAGATTGTCAACCCCTGGTCCACAGCCCGGTACCGGTCCGTGGCCCGAATTGGACCAGGTCGTGGAGATAGACCTCCCACCCCACCCCCGCACGCACTCCCTTCCCCACAGCTGCTTTGCACATGCCAGGCAGCACCGCCGTGAGCATTCCCCCACCCCTTCACACATGCGCCTGAGCACCCACGCAAATGGGTAGGCGGGTGCGCGTGCAGGCGCTCCTGTGCATGGGCGAAGGGGTGAGGGAGCACTCGTGCCGGCACTGGCGGGCACACGTGTGCCCCCCTGCTTCACGCATGTGCCCGAGAGAGTGCATGTACCCGCGTGAGCGTGCGCGTGCAGGCGCTCCTGTGCATGGGCAAACGGGTGAGGGAGCACTCGTGCCAGCACTGGCGGGCACACGTGCGCTCCCCTGCTTCACGCATGTGCTCGAGAGAGTACATGTACCCACGTGAGCACGGGGGGGTGCCCTGCCTTCCTCAGAGGCTCAGCCGGTCCGCGGTCCAAAAAAAAAAGGTTGGGGACCACTGCTTTAGGTGACTCGTCAGTAGCTCTGCAGTTCCATGAGGAAGGACAGGATATAAACCAAGTAAACAACAGTAACCATTGTAACAAATATGTAACACCTCTGAACAGCCACACCTTGAGAGGCAGAACTTTGGCTTCTCTGCTTGCTTGCACTCCCCTCACCCTCACGCCTCACCTAGTAGGGTAGTCTGTGGCACTGAGGTTGATGAAATAGTCCCAGGGCCAGTCTGTCATCTCTAGCAGGTCCTTCATGCTCCGCAGGTACATCTTCAGCAGGCTGGCCCCTCCCCAGATGGTGACCATGCGCCAGGGCGTGACCCGGATGTTGGGGTAATGCTGGGCCACCTCCACAACTTCACGGTGCAGGTACGTGGAGCGCTACGGGGGGGGCACAGGGAAGGAGAGAAAATGACCGAGGGCCCTCTTTGAGTCCTGAAGACACGTCTCAAAGAAGAGGAGTGCGGTTTATTTGGGAAACACGTGCATCCACTCAAGAAGCAGGGAAGTTGTGGTGGAAAATCCCGTGTGTCTGTTTTCATTTGCAAGGTTTTTCTCCCTCACAGTTAACAAATAAACAAAAATTTTGTGTTGCAAGCATTATTTATTAAGAATCCCCAGAAGCCACTGGTGATGGTGCAGCTAAAAATATTGTAAATAAATAAATAAATAAGTAAATAAAACTACAAGCAAAATGAGATGGACTGCTTATTAAAATTCTTAGCTCCTCTGCCCATTCTCCTCTGGTCTCTGCCCCACATTTCCAAGTTCTGCAATCCTACCACTGAAACAATGCAAAGGTGCCCAATTAGCCTCATTTACTTTAGTTATAGTTAAGAATTTTAAATATGGAGCTGGAAAGGCAGCTTTTATTGATGACAAAGTAAACCACAATCCTTTATTCTCCTTGCAGAGACATCTCTATAAAGCAAAGGTGAGCAGCTTCAACAGGCACAGTGACCAATTTTGCCCCTCCCCTAACCACTCTATAGGCTACATTTCTTCTATTTTAAAAAAATTGCTTCAGTTTTTCTTTTTGAAACCAGTTCACAAAAAAGCTATGATGATGTCTATTCGCCACCTTTTTACCATTCCTGGCCATACAGGAATGGTAAAACACAATCAGCAACCCATGTTCTTGGTAGAAGACCACGAAGGATGGTCCATCCTCTTCCTCCATGCTACGTTCTGGGTAAAGAAAAGAAGTGGCACATGTTCCCCACACAGAAAATTATTTTCCTTCCCCAGAATGCAAGAGGGAAATAAATGGCACCTTCTTCTGCCCCAACTCCTTTGTATATGCCAGACAATTCTGAAGGGAGCTTGTATTAGGCTTTCTTCTCTCCGACGTGGAGAAATTTCAGCCCTCCAGATATTTTGGCCTAAAACTCCCACAGTCCTTTTCTGTTGCCTATGCTGGGTGGGCTCATGGGCCAAAACATGGGGAGGGCCAAAGGTTCCTCATCCCCCCTCCCCACCACACCTATACTGCTAATTACTGTCACTAAGGGTGTGTGTGTTGTTGAGAGAGCCAAAGGGGACAGTGGGACCACTCTCCTCCTGCGTGCGTAGTTCACACACACACAAAACTCAGGGGACAGTGGTCCGTGTTCTAGACTCTAGAGGCTCTTGCCATGAAGGGAAAATAAGCATGCTGGCAGATCTGCGTGTTCTCGGTTTATCTGTTAAAGTGATCTTTTTTAGGGGACAGGGGTCCGTGTTCTAGACTCCAGAGGCTCTTGCCATGAAGGGAAAACAATAAAAGCATGCTGGCAGATCTGCGTGTTCTCATTTTATCTGTTAAAGTGATCTTTTTTAAAAACAAGAATTCCCAGAATCCCCCGGGGCTTCATTCAAAAAAGAAGCTTTTCCAAGTTCTTAGGTTACCTCACCGTCCTTGGCTCCCACAGCTCCCCCTCCTGGTACCAGGCGGTATTAACACAGCTTGATGGATTCCACCAACCTTACCTTGTCAACATGGATATAGAAGAAATGTTGCTGGTGGTACACAGCCTTGATGAGGCGTTTCAGCTGGCGGATGGCTCGCCCATGAACTACAAGCATGTAGGCAATTCGGACTGGGTTGCTCACAGAGGCCTGGAGCATCCTGCTGTCATCCCACTGGATCACGGGGCTGACTTTCCCTGAAGCAATCGAGAGGGATCACACAATGGGATCACATGCTTAATCCGTTTAAATGATTTTTATGGTCAGGTTGATTTCATTTGATATTAATGATTTTACTGTTAAATCTGTTTAGCTTGTTTTTATTGCTTTGCAAAGTCTGTAAGCCTCCTTGAGCACCACGTTGTAGTGGAAAAGTAGGGTATGCAATCCACAACAACAACAATTAAAAAATTATAGTCGCCACTACCCAAGCAGAAAGTAGTGGCAGGGGGAAGGCAATCCAAGGTACAAATTTCCAGGGGTAAATGACTCTCAGGTCAGCAGCAAAGCATTAGCCTTGCCTTGATGAGGATTTTTGTGTGGCTATCCTTCAATTACCTCCAGAATTAGGTAAAAACAAATTGTGGGGTGAGAGTGGTGGGGATAAATGTACTCCACCAAGATCCAGGAATGGATATGCGGAGTTCCTGGACCTCTTGAGAACATCCATTCCGACTCTAAATAGAGGATGCTGATGAGGAATGATCAATGGCATGCTCACAGTTAATTTAGGCTTACCTGAGAGTTGGCACTGCCGGGGTACAGAGCGTGGCATAAGCTTCCCTGCTTGGTGCAAGCACACCACGTTGGCAATCTCCTGCTGGCACTGCTTACTGATGGCTCTGGCTAATGCGGACAAGGCATCTTTGCCCGTGATCTCACATTTAGGGGTGAAGTTGTTCTCCGTGGGTTGTGGCGCCCCTTCCACGCTGCCCGTGTCACCCTGCTGGAACACGGCCAACTGGGCATCCGGCCCGAGCTCCGTCAGGTTCTTTTGACTCGAGGAGTCCAAATAGACTGGGAACCGGCGCCCAGGCTTGTGTTTCACTGTGACCGCTCTCACCACCTTGGCCACTAGGACGCCTGGGTTGTCTGGGCGGCTCCTCCATCGTCCGTGCTTCCGGCTCAAGCCGCCCCGCCGACCTGCTGAGCTGTCTGAATCCTTGGAGCCTTCTCCATTTTCAAAGAGCTGAGCCTTCCGTCCCTTCTCGTTCCAAGCAGGGAAACACAAACACACAAACAGGGCAAGGAGAAAATTAATCCAGGGACTTATCACAGAACTACCTTGCGGCATATTTTTAAATAGATAGCATCCTTCTTAAAGAATATAAGAATTTCAACAGCTCAGTGTACCAGAGTACACTGGCTACCTATAGCGCAGGCTGTCTGCAACAGATCACGGCTTTGAACCAGTGTACCAGAGTACACTGGCTACCTATATCACAGGCTGTCTGCTACAGATCACGGCTTTCAACGAGAAAGTACAGTGGTGCCCTGCATAGTGACGATAATCAGTGCAGCAAAAATCATCGCTATACGGATTTGTCGCTATGCGGATTTAAAAAGCCCATAGGAATGCATTGAAACCCTTTCAATGTGTTCCTATGGGCTTAAAACTTACCTTTTAAGCGAAAGTCCTCCATACGGTGGCCATTTTGGGCGCATGGTAAGCGAGGAATCCGTCCCTGTTTTACCTGGTGGCCATTTTGGAACCGCCGATCAGCTGGGGAAAAACATCGTTATGCGATAATTGGTAAACAAAACAGCTTATCGATCATCGCAAAGCGATTTCCCCCCATAGAAAACATCGTTATGCGATCACAAAAACATTGTCACTATGTGAATTTGTCAGCTATGCGGATTTGTCGTTAAATGGGGAGCCCGTTATGCGAGGCACCACTATCAGCATCTTGATACTTTGATGGCAAGGTTTACAGAACTGCAAAACATGTTCTCAGCTTTCCAGGGTTCAAAATATTGCAGTGAGTCCATAAGCAGGATGTGCAGTATTATACAATATACACAGAAAAAACTGTGCATTTATAGGTGTGTGTATAAAATTCAACTCCACTGTTTAGTTTTATAATTATACAATTTTACTTTATTGCTTCATAGCCAATCAGGCTGTAGGCATGAGCAGAAATTAAACCAGTCTTTAAAAACTGTATTTGGCATCTAATATAAGTATATATAAACAATCAGAAAAGCTAACAACAGCAACAATTACAGTGGTGCCTCGCATAGCGACAATAATAGGTGCAGCAAAAATCGCTGTAAAGCAATTTCGTCACTTTGCAATATTAAAAAGCCCATAGGAATGCACTGAAACCCCTTCAATGCGTTCCTATGGGCTTCAGACTCACCTATAACTGAAAATCCTCCATACGGCAGCCATTTACGCTGCCCGGTAAGCGAGGAATCCATCCCAGAAAACAGCGGGTGGCCAATTTTTTTTACCCAGCCGCCATTTTGGAACCACCGATCAGCTGTTAAAAATCATCGCTTTGCGATGATCAGTAAGCGAAACAGGATAACAATCATCGCAAAACGATTTTTCCCCATAGGGAACATTGCAAAGCGATCGCAAAAGCAATCGCAAAAAGTTAATCGCTATGCGATTTCATCGTTAAACGGGGCGCCCGTTAAGCGAGGCATCACTGTATTTAGCATTCTCAAATAAGTATAAAATTGTGAAATGAAGTTGATGTGCTTGCGAAGCAGGCAATGAGCTCTGTCTTTCCATGGCTCGTTTAACTAATTTAGCAGTCCTATAGGATATACAGTAGTCTGTGCCAGCTTGCAGAAATAAAATGTTAAATAAAGGGGAATTGTTCTTGATCCCCATTGTTAAGGGTTTAAGACATTGATCCCTCAAATATGCATACAGAGGGGCATTCTGTTAGAAAATGTACCATGTCCTCCATCTTAAAGTATCCTGCTGGGCAATATTTCCCTGTACCTCCTGGGTCCCTATAACATCCCTGAATCTCCTTCAACTGCAATGAGTTTAATCTGCATTTAGTCAGCCGTTGTCTCAGCTTGTGTGAGCTAATAAGGGACAAATATGGGGGCATATTTCCAAAAGGCACAGAAAAGTCTTTGCATATCCTATTAGAGTGGCAGCCAATGTAGTTTGATTATCAACAGCATATAATCTTTTAATAATATCTTCTTTGGCAGCCTCATATTTCTCCTGTGGAGGTAAGGCTTGGAAATAACCCAGCTTCAATATACAGTGGTGCCTCGCATAAGGAGCGCACCGTTTAACAACAAATTCGCACAGCGATCTCTTTTTTGGGATCGCTAATGCGATCGCATACCGATGGTCTCTATGGGCAAAAATTGCTTTGCGACGATCGGTAAGCGTTTTGCTGCCCAGGATTCCCTTCCCATTTCTTCCAAGGCCGATGAGAACAGCAGTGAGGCCATGTGGAACACCATCTTGAAGCGGAACAGCACGACTGCTTTCTTAGCAAGAGTACCCACGGAGGAGCACAACGTCTCAGATTAGACTGCAGCTGTGGAACTAGAGATTGATACTCCTAACGTTCTGGTTAAAAAAACTATGTTGGACAGTTTCCAGTATTGCAATATTTGAAAAACCATAGAGCATCTGAGGAAGCAGTTTATCTTTATATAACTGTATTAGTGCCGCCACCCTTTTTCTGCCTGGTCCAGAAAAAAAACAATAAATAGCATTGGCGGGTATCTCAGTTGACAGAGCTACAGATTTTAAGAGACCTGCCACAGGGACAGAGCACTCCCCTCTCTCGCCTCCTCTGCATACGCTCCCTGCTCCCCAGGCGATTTTAAGAGACCTGCCACAGGGACAGAGCACTCCCCTCTCTCGCCTCCTCTGCACACGCTCCCTGCTCCCCAGGCGATGCATGCTTCCCTCCTTGTTCCCTCCCTGCCTCCTCAGTGTGACTGCCTGCACACTGATCACAACTTGCACATGCCTCCTGCCCTTCCTCCGGCAGCTGTCCACACACAGCAGGCTTCTCTGCTCCACCTCCCTGTCTGAATGAGCAGATGCTGGAGGAGGAGGGAAGCGTGAGCAGTGCGAGCGGTGAGTGGGCAGTCGCTATAAGGAGATGAAGGGGGTTCCTCCTTGCCTCCTCAGTGTGACTGCCCACTCACTGATCACAGCTTGCACATCCCTCCTGCCCCTCCTCCGGCAGCTGTCCACACGGCAGGCTTCTCTGCTTCACCTCCCTATCTGAATGAGCAGACGCTGCAGGAGGAGGGAAGCGTGAGCAGTGCGAGCAACGAGTGGGCAGTCACTATGAGGAAATGAAGAGGGTTAGTGCTCCTCAGTGTGACTGCCCACTCACTGATCACAGCTTGCACATCCCTCCTGCCCCTCCTCCGGCAGCTGTCCACACGGCAGGCTTCTCTGCTTCACCTCCCTATCTGAATGAGCAGACGCTGCAGGAGGAGGGAAGCGTGAGCAGTGCGAGCAACGAGTGGGCAGTCACTATGAGGAAATGAAGAGGGTTAGTGCGCATTGCCCAGGGAATGGGTGAGCATGCAGAGTAGGCAGGAGAGGGGAGTGTGCAGCACTTGCAGGACACCTGTGTGGGTGCGGTGCAGAACTGGGACAAACTGACAAACTGTAGTTTGTGCCCATCTCTAATAGGGTGCCACCATGGCGAATGTCTTCTGTTCCACACCCTGCAAGTCACAGCATGAGCAGAAGGATCTCTTCTGAAGGCCGTAGCCATCTAATAGGACTAGGCAGAGCAAAGAGGCCGTTCAGATAATCTGGTCCCAAGTCGCTTAGGGCTTTATAGTTTAATAATAAAACCTTAAACAGGGCCTGGCAACTAAACTGGTAACCAATGTAATTCTTTCAGGCCAGGTATAATATGGGCACTACCAGGCACCTTACTTAACACAGAACTACCTGGCTGCTGCATTCCACACTAGCTGCACCTTGTGAGCAAGTCCCAAGTGTATTGCCGTACACTACCTTGACCCAAGCACTGGTGACACTACCAAGTGCTTGAGTCACAACGGCCAAGCTATCCTAATCCAGGAGAGAGTGCCGCTGATGTATCAGCTGAAGTTGGTAATAGCTACATCCCATCACAGAGGCTGCCCGAGTCTGTAATGACAATGATGGCTCCAGGTATGTAGTCAAACCATGTGCCTCCTCCTTCATGGGAAGCCCAACCCTGTTCAAGACTGGTAAATTCCCTGCTTCTTAGAGGTGAGAACTACTCATACAAGGTCTCCGTCTTACTAGGATTAAGATTCAATTTACCAATCCCTCATCCAAACCATCATTAGATCCAGGTACTGGCTTAGGTTGTGCACCTCCTCTCTTGTTTCAGCTGAAACGGAGAAATTGAATGGGATGTCATCAGCACCCTATAAGTGCACAGGCATATAAAATATATGCTGAACAGGTAAAGGTAAAGGTCCCCCTTGACAATTTTTGTCCAGTCGTGTTCGATTCTAGGGGGCGGTGCTCATCCCCGTTTCCAATCCACAGAGCCAGTGTTTTGTCCAAAGACAGTTTCCGTGGTCACATGGCCAGCATGACTAGACATGGAACGCTGTTACCTTCCCACCGAGGTGGTATCTATTTATTTACTCACATTTTTACGTGCTTTCGAACTGCTAGGTTGGCAGGAGCTGGGACAAAGCGACGGGAGCTCACTCCGTTGTGTGGATTCGATCTTATGACTGCTGGTCTTCTGACCTTGCAGCACAGAGGCTTCTGCAGTTTAACCCGCAGAGCCACCATGTCCCTTTTAAAGTCAAATTATTGTTATGTGACAATGACTGAAATCCTGTTGATCAACACAGTAAATTGCACTAGAGGAGGCCCACTGAATCAGTGGAAATTTCGTGGTAAAGGTAAAGTTCCCCTTGACAATTGTCCCTGCCCCCTAGAGTCATGTCCGACTCTAGGGTGCAGTGCTCATCCCCATTTCCAAGCTGTAGAGCCAGCATTTGTCTGTAGACAGTTTCTGTGGTCACATGGCCAGCGCTACTAGACACGGAACCTTCCCACCATAGTGGTACCTATTTATCTACTCACATTTTACATGCTTTCAAACTGCTAGGTTGGCAGGAGCTGGGACAAGTGACCGGAGCTCACTCCGTCGTGTGGATTTGAACGGTTGATCTTTTGACCTTGCAGCCCAGAGGCTTTTGCGGTTTAACCTGCAGCACCACCACATCCCCATATGCTGAATACTATGGCCTAAATCCAATAGCTATCCCAACTATAACAGACCCACTGAATCAATGGGATTTACAGAAATGCTAAATTACCATTCAGCA